TTTGTGGGCAATTACCGCAGTCTTGGTCCACAAATCTTTACCTTCAATTACATTGCTGTAAACAAAGTATTTTCTTTTAATCACAAATAATGGCTATTAGTCTCTCGGATGCTGCAACATTCGATTTCGGTTCGTGTCTCAAGCCTTATCCTTGACATTAATAGGTATCATTACATGTTGATTAAATTATATACTTGTGCAGTAACTCTCTGCTGCCAGAAAGCCAGATAAGCCGATTTTTTCCACAAAACATAAGATTTCCTAGAAATTCGGGTTTTCAAAGATAAGATGCATCCAACATCACCCTCCAAATAGGTCTAACTGTAACATATGATGAATTTTAGCAAAATGATACATTGCTTTTATAGCAAAATATCAATACTTCCCAGAGTGGTGAGTAGTTTTAACAATAATTTTTCTTAGTTTGTCTTTGGCTTAAGTAAAGGCATTCATACGCCGGTTACCTCTCCATTGATTTACTTACTTTCGATGGCCCGATATTGAGATTTAATGGCCACACATAAAAATCCAAAAAAAGCGAAAAGAAAGAGTGTTAGATAAATGAAAGAATAATCGAAAAATAATTAAAATACATAAGTATCAAGTCTTGATTTCACACGGACAGCTCCTACTTATGTAAACATACGTCAAAAAATAAATGTGTTTTCAAAAGTTTGTAAAAAAAATCAACCTGGATTTTATGAAGGATCTTGAACTATAAATTAAAAAAAAAAAAGAAAAAACGTGATGAAACATTGAAATTGAGCCACTTTTTATAAAACTGTGAATATTTTTGTAAGATATGTTTTATGTACGTATTCAAACAAAATTTCTGGCATGATATTTAACTGTAAATTCCTTTTCATTTTGCATATTTTCAACTCAAGCAACAGCAAATCCCAAACTTTAATATCAGACTCTTGAGCCCTCTAGGGTTTTGAAGGGATACGCATTCGTTAAATAACTTCGCGTATTCTGCTAATAATGTGATTATATTATAGGTAGGTGCATAATTTTTTGCTATTGCGTAGGATTTCATAAGGACTTATCGATTTTGGGCTTGAAATTTAATTTACGTAATGGAAAACAAAAAAGTAATCCAGTACACATTTCAATCAAACTGATAATTTTCCTAATTTTCTAGCTTATTACCGTATTGACAATTTCTCTCTAGAAATGTCTGATAAATTCCGAAAGATAGATAGTTTATCAAGGCCAAACTAGAGCGCTGAGAGTTCTAGTCACCGGACATATAGGGCTCTCGACACTACAGAAAAATGCACTCTCAGCTTCATTCTTGAAATGATTTATTGTAACTGCAAGTCAGGATTCACTAAACTTTGCAGCTGCGTGAAATCAAACAATAATTATTGACAATATTGGACAACAAAGCAGCTAATTTCAAATAGGGAATCGGAATATTCGGGAAACGAAAAGGTAGCATTTGAGGTGGCAACAGCACCCCATGCCCATGCGCACATAGGACCATTTTGGCAGAAATAATACTTACGATAGAACCCTAATGACCAGAGGGCCCTGTCACCAGCATGATCCCAAAAAGGCACGAGACGGTGCGCTGGCGAGCATTGTGGTTGGGCCAGGTGCGAATTAAATATATTTCAAATACTGCATCTTAGCGCCATCTATTAACCCAAAAATGAAAGTTCCAGTGCAAAAAAAATCTAAGAATAAATATTTACACCGCATCCTGCTACGATGGTCCGTTTTCGAGTTGGGGCGATTTAAAACTACAACTAGGTGTTTGTGACGTCACACTGGACTATTACGGACAGTATTAACACGTGTAAGAATTTTTCAAAACAAAAGACAAGGATCACACCCCCTTTAAGTTATATTATCGTGAAAACGTGTAATGATTAGGTACTCTCATTATTGAGGTTCTATCGTAAGTAACGTTTCTGTCTGAAATAGGTGATGGAAGGACATCGACAATTTCATTTCGTCAAAATGAGTTTCATAATGTCCGCTTGGGGGTCACACTTGAGTAACAACGGATCTATTTTCCAGAGTCAGCAGTTTTTGGGGTAAAAGGCAACAGCCACCTTCCCAGGAGTGGCATGAGGGGCTTTCTACTTGAGAATTAGGCAAATTTCTATTTACCAGGGGCAGATAAAAAATGAGTGAGGCAGAATCGGTTGAATTTTGATTGAGTTTTAAGTTATTGATTGCCCCGACCCCCAAAAATATAAAACAAACTTAAAATAATAGATAAATAAATAGATAATCCAAGTGTCTCCATGTCACGCAGGATTATAGAGTCTTACATCAACCAGCCACATTTTTTTTGTAACAAATAAATGAAATTTCTTAGTCTTTCTTTAGAAGTTTACTGAACAAATTATTCTAAAAAATAATATTTTTCGTGCTGTTTTTCTCGTTCCTTGGGAAACAGACATCAAATATTTTACATACAATGAAATTGTTTTTTCACCAAATTCGCTACTGCTTGTATCACTTGAGAGACCCCAAATCATTATCCTAAAACCCTCTTTTTTGCAAATTTCGGTTGACTGCAAAACTCCCTTAAAACTTTATTGGCATAAATTTGGGTGGAGAACGAATATAGGTACTTACTTTAAGTGCCCCTTGTACGTTGATCTCATTTTAGTTTAAGCCCTGTTGTATAGTCTTCATCTCAAAATAAATATATATCATAAAATGTTAATAATAAAATACGTAAAAAGTTCTCTCTTCTTTGTCTGGAATATCGGAAAGCTGCGTAATTTTATACTCCCTTTTGTGTATAAGATTACTACCATTTTTTCTATAAAACTAATGTAATATTATAGGGTTTCAGGAGATGCGTACGATAATACTCTCATGTCGATTGTGTTACAAAGTCTTTTCTTTTTTTCATCAAATATGTGCTGTACAAATTGAGTTTAAATATAGCCGTAAAAGCAAATTAGTTCTGCGAAAGAGCAGTTTCTCAAGAGTTGTTTGTTTTTCTGGACTGACTTTCAGCCAGTTAACTTGTTGAGGAAAATATAACTGAATGGAAAAAGTTCCCCCTTCATGAGATCTTGACATTTCAAAGCTTGCGGTTGCTGAAAATCTAAAAAGTATTACTACTAAGCGACCAAGTTCAAAATGCTATTTAGATAAAAGTTCTAGGCAAAAAAATAATTAGTTTTTAAATTAAAGTACCTATCACATTAGTCAAATTGGCTCTTCTTAGCTTCTACTACTCGTCTTTTTTAAACTGTAGGTAATTGTACAAATCAATTTTTTTTTTTGTTTATTAAAGCCAGGTTGATATACGGTCCAAGTGCACTTAGACCAAGTAAGTTGACAGCTAGCCTACTTACTTGGATGTTAAGATCTATCCAACTGGACTGTGTCTTGCCGATACGTGGATCCTATCAAATGTTAATCCAAGTCCAGTTGGATAGGTCCTAACATCCTAGTGATTAGACTGGCGGTCAACTTACTTACTCTACATTGATGGTGTTTGTTTTAACGGAATTTATAGATTTTATGTTCCATGTGTTTTTGTGCACAATTCGATGGAAAAAAAAAATTCCAAAGTAAGTTTTTCCTTGTAAACCTATCTTCGCCAGTCTGATCCACTGGCAATCCGCTCCACTATTATGTGGAGTGGTGTGAGGTCTAGGATGACTTCCAGTGCCGCGGTTGGACAGGATCTCATTGCTCCTGTTATACGGAGACACGCGAGTCTTTGCACTTTTCCTAGGGTTTTCCTAGCTGTTACTAGCCGGGTTCCGCTATACCAGGCTTCCGCTCCGTAGGTGAAGATAGGTCTCACTATCATGATATACATCCATCTTAGAATTGATGGGTAACAACCCCGCGTTTCACCCGCAACGTTTGTGCAGACCACGAGTGCCGAGATTGCTTTGTTTTTTGTGTTCTCTACATGTCGTTCCAGAGAAGTTTAGAATCTAGGGTTATTCCTAGGAATTTACCTTCTTGGGTTGGGAAAATGCCGACAACTCCAAGTGACCTGTGGAGTACTTGGTGCTCCTTTTAAAATGAGACTCACGATATTTAAATATAAGATTTATTTAGCGTTAGCTCACAAGTTATTTTCTACATTGGACAGATATGACAGTTCTTTAACCCGGCATTACACGCGCCAAAAAACTTACGTCGTTACACGCGTTCGGTCAAATCGGCCGACTGCCCAAAAGTTTATATGAATTATTAGGTTTTTTCGCGAAAACGATGCCAAACGTATCCTGAACGCTAAGGCATGACCTACGCAGGTTTACTAATCAATAGAGAAATGAAACTTTCAAATATTACCTGCGTAAGTCATGCCTTAGCGTTCGGGATACGTTTGGAACCGTCTCCGCGAAAAAAGTGTACAAGCACTATAATTCCTAGAATTCATAATTATTACAAAGGAAATTATATTATGCAGTACAGTTACCGTATTATCGACAGCCAAAAATACTCCCAATATTAGAAAATGTCAATTTTGAACACAGATATTTTAGATACTTAGGTTCACGCGCCTAGTCAAAAGAACCGACTATGAAAACAACGAACTATACTTCAACCAAAAACCAAAATATTTTTGGGCCAATGGGTAGTGGAAAACCTGCATCAGGCATTCCTGGATGGACAAAATTGCCACTCTTGTATCAGTGGCGTAATCACTGATTTCATCAATGGTCGGTCCTTTTGACCGGCACGCGAGTACTCCCGGGTTAAAAGGGGGACACGAACCCTAGATATTGTACATTAAACATGAATGCTAGTTACCGAGTGATCGGTGATCAGTCATCCTTTCGGCAGTTGTTGAAGAGTTTTAGCAGTGACACACGATATTCTTGCTTGTCGCACTATCGATCGTAATGCCTTTAAGTGCTGCAAGAAAAGTTTTAGCAGTTTTGTCTGTATCGTTTGTATTGATGTTTTTCACGGCAGTTGTCTTGACAGAAAGTCTGATGTTGTCAGGTTGGGTGGGTGCAGGATACTGTGTTCCCCATTATGCCAGCGCAGTCATCAAATAGCGGAAGAACAGGAAGAAAACTACAAGGGAGTAATTGATAAGCTACGTAATGAAATTACCGAAAAAGAAAGCTGCATCAAGCGTTTGAAGAGGAGCTCAAAAGTGTTCGAAGATGACATAATGGAAACGGAACAAAGTTATATAAGCACCATTGAAGAACAAAAGCAGCGAATAATTCAACTCAAGGGTGAAATATCATTTCTGAATGAGGCTAATATGAGGCTTGAGGTTGACATAAAGAACACTGAAGAACGGATGGTTGAGTTCAAGCAACAAATTCAGGGACTAACCGAAATGTCAAATGGCATGATAACATCAATTAGAGTACTGGAAAATCAGAATAGACTCTACCTAGAAGAATTGAGTGAGCTCAAACAGGGGGGGACTGAGAAGACGATGAATAGCACGGGTATACAAACAGATTTGGTGGACAATACAAATGGAGAGATGCTAACAACAATATTCTCGAGGTAGAAAAAAGAATGTTTGAAGATAAAATAGCACAGGATGTGGTCAATGAAAAAAGTTCGAGGGACCAGGCTGACGTTGGCTTTAAAAACAAAATCGTTAAGGACAACGCTAATAATATTCATAAAAACTTACGTCCGGTTTCGAGTTTCAAAAAAAATAAGCTACTATTGCTAACTGATGAATTTGGTAAATATTTGTACCCATACCTTTTGAACCAATTTTCATCTCATTTTGAAGTGCAAGTGGTGTGTAAGCCAAACGCACTATTTAATAGTGTTATCAAAGGTTCGTGTCTTAGTGTTGGCGGGAACAAATAACTGTAATATTAAACTGAATGACATAACGAAATTAGCAAATCAGTGCTTTTACACTAATCTCATCCTTTGCGCAGTTCCAGCCAAGCATGAGGATGGCTCTCCCTTCAAGGGTATTGAGATTGTGAATAGGCAAATAGTCACTTACGCATCTAATTTAAGAAAGTTTTCAAATAACATAAACTATGTCGACCTTTACAACAAATTTAGATATTCTGACTATGTATCAAGAGGTGTATTTTTGAATAGTAAGGGTTTATCAAAAATGGCCATGTTCATTCATGCAGCCGTTGATGTTTTTTTTTCAAGCCAGGTCATTCTCCTGTCTTAGAGAAATAGTATTGCAGGCATCTGCGGTTTCAGTCGATAAGGTAATTAGTAGTGTTTGTAATGAAATTGATAATAATGTAAATAATATTGATCCTACAATAATTGTCATTGATGATGAACTTTCAACTAATATGAATAGTACAAATTTTTTAGACGTTCCCCCACTCGAGAGCAGATCAATAGGGACATAATTCGTAAGACTAGGGTAACACCATTAGTACTTAACATTCACTCAATTCGCAACAAAATTGATGATCTATGTGTTTTACTTGATAATAATCAAAACCCTGATTTTCTATTACTTACTGAACATTGGTTAAACTCTTTGGAACCATGTAATATACCAGGGTATTTAAACGTTTCATGTTTTTGCCGAACTTCGGTAGCTGGATACGGCGGCACTGTGATTTTAATTAATAAAGAATTTTCACAAACCTTTCAAATTGAACCTGTAGATAAGTATAACCATCTGTGTAAAGAAAAGGAGTTTGAGTTTTCAATTGCCGTTAACAAGAAAGCTAATATCTATATATTATGTACCTATCTACCGTCCTCCGGAATCAAATATTACAGACTTCTTGATTAATTTAGAGACAATACTGGTTGATTTGCCTTCGCATTCTAAAGTTATCTTATCTGGAGATTTTAACATTGATTTTAACAGTTCTTCAGCAGCCATTCAATTTCTGCAAAATCTGCTTATTTCCTTTGATTTAATTATGCATGTACTCACACCAACTAGGATAAGTAATGGGTCTGCTACAATAATAGATTACTTTTGCACAAATTTTAATCAAGATACTACAGAGTGTGAAGTGGTCTCTACAGTTCTCTCTGATCATGAGGCATTGTTATCGCGGTTTCTTCTTGATTACACAACCTTAGTGTTGCCTACTCAATATAAGCGGATTTTCTCTGGAAACAACTATCAAAATTTCAGACAAGAATTAGGTCTTACTAATTGGGAACTCGTACTAGACAGCGACAAACCTATTGAGTCTCTTCATTCTGTGATTTATAAAGTGTTTAATGACTGTTTTCCGCTGCGTAAAATGAGAAAGAGACGCAAGAAGAAGTCATGGATTACTAGAGGTATCAAAATCTCAGGGAAAAATTTACGATCGCTACATCTAATTGTAGATCTACAGATAGTGAATTTTTTAAGACGTATTTTAAAAGGTACAGAAAAATATACAAAGAGGTAATAAAAGCGGCAAAATGTTTGTATTACGAAAATAGGTTGTCAAACGCGCAAAATAAAAGTAAAGAAGCTTGGGCAATTGTTAACGACTTAACAGGAAAAAACTGCTCGATTAAGCAATCCGCAAACATTGACAGTGGTATATTAAACAAATTTTACTGCACTGTTGCTCAAAATTTGACACGTAATTTAAACCCATCTCTCGATCCTATGGATAATTTAAAAAACTTTCATATAGATGAAGAATTTGTACTTCGTCCCACTAATTGGAAAGAGATTAAAGAATCAATAGGTAACATAAAATGTAGCAACTCTGTGGGAACCGACGAAATGTCAATAAAATTATTTCGAAATTTAGACCAACCTGTGCTGGAGGCTCTGGTGCGAGCGATAAACAACTGTTTTTTGAAAGGGGAATTCCCTGATGTATTAAAAACTGCCATTGTTATTCCTGTACACAAATCTGGATCGTATGACGAGCCGGCTAACTTTAGACCAATCTCACTTTTAAACACCTTATCTATTCTAAGATCATTGAAAAAATTGTAAAGAGTCGAATGCTTGAGTTTTTCGAAAGAAACAAAATTTTAAGCCCTAATCAATTTGGCTTCCAGAACTCAAAAAGCACAAATGATGCGTTATTTTCATTCTTGGAAAACCTTTATTTAAATCTTAATAACAAGGAGACTGCAGCCGCAGTTTTCTGCGACTTTTCAAAGGCATTCGACTGTGTTAACCATAATTTGCTTTTGAGAAAAATGGAGGTCTATGGTTTCAGGGGTTTATCACTTGGATTTTTTAAATCATATTTAACAGGGCGATCTCAACAAGTTAAGAATGGACCAAATGTTTCATCATCATGTAGATTCGATATAGGTGTGCCTCAGGGATCCGTTCTCGGACCAATTTTGTTTTTATTATATATAAATGATTTAAGTTTTTTGGATATTGCGGGTAACCTAACTTTGTTTGCTGACGATACTACAATTATTTGGCATCATAAAAACGAAACATCTTTAACAGATATAATACAGACTGACATTGTAAAAATTAAACACTGGTGCGATTCTAATTACTTATGCTTCAATATAGATAAAACCAAGATAATTAGTTTTAAATTTTCCTTCGATGATTTACATCTGGCCAACCAAGTCGTAGAACAAAGTGAGAGTACAAGGTTTCTAGGGGTGATTATTGACAAGGATCTTAAATTTTCTGATCATTTAATACATTTAAATAAAAAAATTTCCTCGGGAAGCTATGCCGTACGAAAAACTCTCACAGAGTTGGGTAAAATTATGGCTAAAACAACTTATTATGCATTGATTGAATCCCACTTAAGATACGATATTGCGTTTTGGGGAAATTGTACTCAATATTTATTTAGATCAGCATTTATAGTACAAAAGAGATGCATAAGATATTTTTGTGGAGCCAAATTAAGGGATCACTGCAAACCACTGTTTTTGCAAGAAAAAATTTTAACACTAAGCTGTCTCTACATCCTGGAAACCGTGTCACTCATTCACAAAAAGTACAAAAATTCATCTCACCCGCACTCATACCAAACTAGAAATTATAATAACATCCCACTCCCTATTCCAAGGACTACTTTAACGCAAAATTCCATTATTTATCGTGGAATTAAAATGTACAATAAACTTAATATTAGAAACTTAGATTCATGCAAGATATTTAGAACCAAGGTTAAGGAACTATTGGCTGAAAAGGCATACTATAATTTGGATGAGTATTTTGATGACGAACTGTAGATGATTTTAAATTTAATTTTGTGGCATTTTTGATAGACCTTTATTTTTAAAAATTTTAACGTTGATGTGTTATGTTTATCCTAATATTTAATATTTTGTTTTACATTTTTTCATATATTTTTTTTTCTTCTTTTAATGGCTGTTTGCGAGGCTGTTTGTAATGTTTCTTTTTTTTGCTGTGCTTTTTTTCTTTTTACCATAGTATTTTTGCTGTGTATCTGTTATTTGCTATTTTTGCTCTTTATTTGCCTACTGTGTACTTTTTATATTTCTGCTTTGTCAATGGAACGATGTTTTTTAGACAATAAAGCATATTTTGACTTTGACTTTGACTTTGATTGTACGGCATCACATGCGCATTTCTCAAGATATACTGTGGCACAGTTGCCACATATAATATACAACTTGAACGATTGGAACGAGTCAAACAGCACAAAATATAGTGGATATGGTTAGTTCGCTAAATTCCACATCCTTCCTGCACCCTTACCCCCTTGCACCCCAAACCTCTTCCCGCCGCCGATCACTCGGTACATTATAGGTCCGTAGTAATTTAGGTGTAAAAATACATTCTGTTGATAACAGAGGTCATAAAAATTTGAAATTCGATTAAACAGGGTGTCCCAGCCGAGAGTGAACCATTTCAAATCCTTATAATTTACAAACCAGGTGTGCCGGCTACCTGCGGTTTGCACTTGGCCTAATGTTTTTATTAGTTAGTTGCAAATTTTTCTGATACTTGTACAGGGCCTGCTGTTTTTCACTTCTCTCCACTATTTCTAAAAAGACACCCTGAATTTCACAATATCACAACGTCAAAATAATAAGAATCGTGTTCAAGGTATCCATGCATCAATAAACATCGCCCTTGAAGCTTAAAGTTTTAACCATAAAAAATTAAAATCGAAATCCTGGTACTTATTTTTGCAAATGCATGAAACTACATGTTGGAGTGTATCTTATATGAGATCTATTTTTAGCAGGATGGTGCCCCACCTCATTATTCATTATTCTTTAATATCAAGAGAATCACTAGATATGATATTTGGGGAAAGATGGATATAGGAAGAGCTGGTTCTACAGAATGGGCACCTTACTCTCCTGACTTGAAAGTTCCAGACTTTTTTCTCTGGGGTTATATCAAGGAGAGTATAAGCTTTTGCCAAATAGCCTGGAAGATCTTAAGCGGAACATTCGTAATGTCATTGAAACGATTCCTCAGAAAATGTTACATAATTCCTTCAACCATTTACTGATCCGACTCCATAATTCATAAATGCGTGGAGCAAAATGGCCAACATATACATCTCTTTTTACAGTTTTATCCAGATCATTACCTTTTTATCAGACAAAGTTAATTTCGAAGCTTTGTGAATATGCTAATAA